TGGTTTGCTATAGGATCATTTTTTCTTAATTATTACAGTAATTAACTAAAACATTTCCTAAATAAATCAAAAATAAACAATATTGTTTTGTACTAGTACAAACTATCAATAAAACAATCATTTATAAGATGAAAAAAATCTTCTATAAACTTAGGTACCCCATATTTGGTTCAATCTGCCACGGAACAAAAGTCCGCGTACAATTTTTTTCGGTGTAATATGCTGCTAAGTACATCATTCAATGTTTAGTATAATTCATCTTTAGGAAGAGGCAACAGTTTTTCAAAGAACGCTTCATTGATGATATAACAGTCTTATTTTTATTGACTTTTGTAATCACGCCGGGAAACAGCTCACCTTCGTATTTAAAAATGACATAGGTATTGACTTTCTTTTTTTTTATCAAGGGCTGTAAAGTTAGATTCTCTGAATTTATAGAATTTAAAATGTTGCGGTCTTCGTTTTCAACCTCACTTAGTGGCCCTTCAGAGGAGTCTCTTAGAGACATTTGATCATCACTTTTGCTGCTATCATCATTAATAATAGCAGAAGACGAACTAGAGATGGATTCTATTTCACCGGGTGTCGGTGAAACAAGCATCTGATACGCTACAATTTTGCCTGGTATTAACTTGAGCTTTTTTCTGCTTGTGTTCGTTGCAATACCCTGAGAATCATTAATTACCTCAGTGTTAATTGCATGGGATAGTCTACGAGAGGTTTAGCATCTAAAGGGTAGATTCCGCATTTTGTAAATCCAGCTTTGAGGTTATTAGCACTATTCAGGGTTATTGCATCTACTAAACGTTTTAAAATTTGAGGGAAAATGCCTTTTGGGAGAACTGCATTGTAATACCCACTCGCACTAGATTTCCAGTCGGACAGAATGGACCTCCAAGCAACTTTCAGGGCGGAAGAACACCACATCTAGCAGCTGTGTTAAATGGATACTGTTTAGTGGTAGACAAAGAATGTGATGTAGTTTTACTTACATTGATTAATAACATCGATAGAAATATGGGAAGATAAGTTATCTCCTATGATGATTTTATTTCCTGGCATTTTTTTCAATCTAGGTAACAATTGCGATTGAAATCAATCATTAAATATGCTTATATCAAACCAGCCTTTGGCTACAACTATAGCAGTTCCCTTCAGGCCCACCTTCCGTCCATGTTGTCCATAGACAACAAGACTTATAAACCGTGAATGGCGGAAGTAATTCGCCTTCAGCACTTCCACAAAACATAATTGAAATACTGGATTTTGATGAATTTCGTAGAAGCTCCGGGTACTTGGTGCCTCTTTTTATAATCACTTTTTTATTGCCGGGATCATCCGTGACATTTGATTCGTCATAATTTCAAATATTACTGGTTGGCACATATACGAGCTCTTGTCTAAGATGAAAGAATGGGTGCGTTTGGCAGAAAAAAGCGCTAGCAAGCACTTGTAAGCAAAATGGCGATCGTAAGCGGTAAACGCTGTCAAATCGTAAGTAGCTATTTTCCTCTAGGACACGATGTTAGTTTTAACCGGGGAACCTAACCTAATTTAAATATATGTTTGTAAAGTATTCATATTAAAAACTTACTAATCATGAATTTTTAATAACATGTATATGTTTATTCATGTCATTATATTACTTAAAACTAATATTGCACAAAACAACTTATAAACTCTACTTCAAAACAAACAAATTAAATAAGCAAAATGGCGGATTGTGTCAGCGCTACTGAAGTAGCAATCGTGTCCTGGCCGAAAACTATTTTAGCGCTTGTAAGCGCTTGCTAGCGCTTTTTTCTGCCAAACGCACCCAATGTATTCAGTCAAAATGTCTGAAGTGATGGCAGTCCTAGCTCGCCTAATATTTGTTGCAAATCGTCCAGATAAATCAGGGTGGTGACGTAAAAACGACGCGACCCATTCGGTACTCGGTAAATTATTTTTAAATCTTATAAAAGTTCGTCCAGTTTTATCAAGATAAGCTTTTACGATATAACGAAAATCAATTTCATATAAAGGGGATTCGTACGTTCCCATAAATTTAATGCAACCAGAAAACTGTGGTTCTTATTCATCATCAAAAACTTGTGGATGTCCTGGTGGTTTCACAGCTGTATTGTTTTTTCTGACTTTAATGTAGTTAATTATAGTCCTTCTAGTAATGTTAAAACGTTTTTCAGTTTCTCGTTGGGTTATGGCTTTATTTCCTAATGTCAAAAGACATTCTTCTAATTTTTCTTTGCTATACGCTTTGTAGCGCCTTGCTTCAGCTCGTTTTATATCTTCTAGGCAGGTTTCTAGCCTAAAATAAGTAAAATACATAAGTAAACATAGATGGAAAAATTAAAATGTGGGTATCCTTTGCTCCAGGCGCACAACCTCAAAACTAGGCGCAAAGTATACCCAAGTCAAAGAAACTGATACAAGAAATACAATACTGGCATTAAACACAAAATCTCACCTGATCTATTAGATAGTTTATAAAACACGTTAAATAATTAAATGCGACTGTAATTGTCTTAATCACAAGTCTAGGAGATGCAAATGGATTTTACTCACTTTTAAATTTTCATCTTGTAGAGCGATCCAATTCTCCCACACAGAAAAAATAATTGCTGACTTTGACATCTGTCAACTTTGGCGTTGCTAGATCAAGAAAAATATTTTCAGATAAAAATATTGGATTCTACTAAATAGTAGATATCACTACGCAAAATTAGATTTAATAATTTTTCGGAAGTGGAGTATTTTTACCACACTAGGAGCAAAGTAGGGCCAGATTACGGTATGTGGACCAAATTTTAATTTTTACTCATGAACTGTAAGTAGTCTTGAAAATAGTTGATCGCGTCAACTTGCGCTCACTAAGCAAAAACCGCTCCTCAGCGGTGAACCACAGTTGGTTTGGAACTAGCGAGAACGGTACTATAAAGCTTCGTTGTCATTTTTGCTGTGTATTACTGAGAAAATATATTCCACAAACTGATCTAAAAGGTCCGGCAATACAGCTCGAAGATCTAGTGACCGCTGGAGACTGAACATTTTAGTGTGGTAGCTTCGTAAACAGAATGTAGAGCGACCGTCCACTAGATGTAGTGACATCCTGGTAAATCATGCAGGAATTTGACAGATTTAGATGGCACAGGACCGTGTTATATAGCATTATTTGGAAAGGGTTTTAGACCTTAAGAATTGAACTTGTGAAGGCCCTATACAATGAATAATGAAAAATTCGCTTAAAATAGGCATTTGTGAGCCAACTCGCCTAAATAAATATGTCGCATTTGTATGACCTCAATCGGTCATGTTATTCAGAAGTTACACGATCACTAAAAGACGCACTAAGAGCGAGCACACATTAGGCGCTCTTTGATTTTGGTTAGAAATTCGTTGCGCGGGCGTTAGTCGCGCGCGTTTAGATAAATAGGCAGTCCTTTTCTCGTACATTTGATCCCGCGCTTTCGTGTAGAGTGGATTAATGTTGAAAAAAACGGAAATCGAACATATCAAAACGGATTTCTTTATCGATGAAATCCATAGGCGACCAGCTTATTAGGGACTTACCCTGCTATCACTCGTTGAACGCCATGTTGACTGCTGAGCGCGGTGTATGTACGCTTTCAAGGCGTGCCTAACGCAACGCCGGGCGCCCAATGTGTACTAGTTGAAACTTTTATAACTAATTTTTGATTGAATGATTGATGAATAATTGATAATTTTGAAAAAATGTGAAATCCGAAACATTAAAGACATAAAAATATTTAAAAAAATATATATATCCTTTCCATATTTTACAATTTTTTACTAAGAAAATTGGTTACAAGGTTACAAAGTTAAAGTCACACTTAGCACTTACTACTTTTTTAAGTTATATGCGTATGCACACTACACAACCAATTTATGTATAAATAAAAATATACCTATAAGATAACATAAACTTAAGGGACGATTTTTCAATCATCAGACAAGTGTTTATATGATAAAATACAAATATGTTAAAATTACAGTTGTACAAAAATAGTTAAATTGCGCCACTTTTATATGAATAAAGGTTATAACTATAGTAATAACTTTTATCTAACGATTGTAAATTCAGTCCAAACTGAAATAAGCCTTGTCGGTGGAATAAAATTAACGTGTTCACTATTTTACTGCTTATATAAGTACGTCCCACGGCTTGGCATTGTCAGCACAGTGCTCCCTTCATCGTGGTTGTGGAGCAATGTATAGATACGGTGCGCTCTTAGTGTGTGTTGGCAGACTTCACATGTCCTCTAAATATTTAATTCCTAAGATATTCAAATTTCCCCACGATATTTGTCTTTGCCGCCGAGCACGAAGTAAAATAACACAATTTTACTGGTGCCGGGTGGATCGAACTCAAGAGATAATCGATACTTATAACACACTAATTAACTAAGAAAATTGCAATGCAAAGCGAGATCGTTATAGTTATATCTAATAATTATAAAATTAAATTTACAGTTTGTAATAATAATAAATAAAATTTCCTCGAGACTATACTTGGGTGACGGCGGCCAGTCTCAACGGAGACTAGCCATCTGCGCAGGACAAGACTATAGTGCACGAGTGTGTCCATAAGCACTGGTGCACTCTCTGTTCCTTCACTCTCATAGTCCAATGGGACGGGAAACCAATACGTCCGGAGAGAGATCAGGTGCAGGACTAGGACCAGGGAGCAAGGCTATCAATGTTATTAATATTCCCTTTAATCATTCTAGTAAGCTTGTGTTAGGAGTAGTCCACGTAGTCCAGTAGTCGAACGGCGGAGACAACCCACCACGACTTGTTGAGCTCCAGATCCACACCTACGATTAGGTTACTGTTGCTTCTTTGTCTACTATTTTATTTAGTAAATGCCTCGAAATTCCTCCTATTTTTCTCCTCCGCACTGCTCGCCTCCTCTTGCTTCGACTCGTGATGATGAATTGCCATTAACAATATTAACGAATACTATTATGACATAATTCAATTCATATATTAAGTGGATTCTTCAACGTTAGCAAGTCAAGGCAGTCTTCAACCACTGGAAAGAAAAACAGTTAAAATTAGTGTTTCGCAGCATTAAGTCTTCTTGAGAACCGAACCTTTTGCCTGCGTGAATGTATGTGAAACGTATTATGTAATAACGTATTAATTACATAATACGTTTCACCTGGTTATTTTTATACCAAGACAGTGCAAGCGAGCATGTGGCTCACTGATGGAAATTGTTATACTAAAATCAACCCTAATAATTTATTAAAGTTTGATATATTTTAGGCGTTTGCCTTTACCAAGGTTAATATTTTTCTCATTTCTAAATTAAGTAATTATTTTCTTAGCTTTATAAAAAAGTAAATAGCTCAGTTTCTATAATTTGTTGCTTCTTTAGCATGAATACAATTCAAAGATATTTTTTACTTGTATGTGTGTATTGTTATGTTGTATTGTATCTTAGCTTAAAGTACATAATGTGATTATAACTATGGTTGTAGCAAGATGTTTTTTTCTACATTATAAAATATTTTATAGAGTATATTAAATAATACCCATACATCATGTCTTTTATTTAAGACCCTATCTACTAAACGAGGCGGGTTGTTTGCTTGAAAATAATGTGTACCTACCTCGGAGAAAGTTAAATTAACTTGAGGTGAACTCGTAGAGAAGTTTTTGAAGAAAATATCTGAAATTTTACATTCCGTCTTAGAACCAATCAATATTACTTGAACTATTAAAACATTTAAGTCTTCGATTCTAATATTTACCAACTAATAAAACTGGGTAGTATAAACTCGTATTCTAGTAAGTTTCTACATATAAAAACAAAACATTATACTAACTTACTAGGAGATGTCTTAAAAATAAAATTAGATGTATTTTATGTAAAATCGAATAATATAATAATAATACACTGTTTTGTATTAGTGCTAATTTGAAACATAATTTTGAAATATACATATTGAAATGTATTTAGAAATTTCATAATAAGACAAAATAAATAAGATAATCGGTACTAGCTTTTTTCCGATAGCTTTTTTAGCGACATCATTTTTAATTGCCAAGTATAGTAAGGGATTGAAAATAGATAGGAAACCTTTCTACGGGTGTGAACCGTTCTATAGGTTAAGTAAAAATGAAAAAGGTTATCTTTACTAAAATGCTATCCATAACATATACGATGCCACGCCTATTCTACCTCACGTTAACCTCACAGTGCAAATTAGAGATGGGCCGAATATGGATTTTACCGAATACGAATATTCGGCCAAACGGTCGGTACCACAAAGCGCGCGGGATTAGCGCCGGACCCTGTCCCTTGCTTCCCGGCCACACCTGACATATTATTGCATCAACGAGTAGGTACTGAGCAAATTGACGGCACATGCTTATTTGACTATTTTTGTAAGAAAAAAGTATTTCGTTGTGTTATTCTTAGTGAAAATTGATAATTATATGATAATAATGAGTGGCAGGAGATCTACTTTGGGCTTATTTTAGAAAGACTGACGACCAAAGTAAAGTGAAATTTACTAATGTAATGTAATGTTTTTTTGTTTGATTCTTAAAACATTTTATCAAGCTTTACATTTGCTATAATTGGAAATAAATCTACAGTGCTTAAAAAACATAACGCTATACAAACCCGTAAATAAAATATACTTTCAACAGTAAAATTATGAAAGGCACGGCATTACACAATTCATATAGTTCAATACAGTGGACACCTTGAGTATCACTTTAACGAATGTTCGGTGATTTAGCTATTATAATTAGTTATAATATTCAGTAAAGCTGCCGAATATGCCGAATACCGAATATGAAACGAATATTCGGCCCATCCCTAGTGCAAATAACCTTTAACTTGCATTGGTAACTTGATGGGAACAAATTAGTAAGTTCTTAAAGTTATTAAGTAGTTATCAAAAGACAACCATAGATTAAAAATAGTTAAGACAGTCGCGTATCATGGGGGGAGGGGGGTCAGTGGGGGCCATGGCCTCAGGTGGCATGCGAAAGGAGACGGCGGCAAGCGACATGATTTTTTCAATTGGGAATTAAAAAAAATTTACTCCAAACTGCGCTCGCAATGTTACATGCTAAAAGCAATGTTACATGAAGGTTACGTAAGAGAGGAGGCGAGACGAAGTCGAATACTGCCAAAGTGGGTTACGTAAGAGAGGAGGCGAGATGAAGTCGAATACTGCCAAAGTGGGTTACGTAAGAGAGGAGGCAAGATGAAGTCGAATACTGCCAAAGTGGGTTACGTAAGAGAGGAGGCGAGATGAAGTCAAATACTGCCAAAGTGGGTTACGTAAGAGAGGAGGCAAGATGAAGTCGAATACTGCCAAAGTGGGTTACGTAAGAGAGGAGGCGAGATGAAGTCAAATACTGCCAAAGTGCTAGCGACAACCGCCAGGTGCGGCACCCGCCTGGCCGGCACTGCGTCGGCACCGAGTTTTTCCGAACGCGAACGAACCAATAAGTGACAGCGAGTACTCAGTTATCATCACAAACAATCAAACAAAACAATCACTTCTGAACATAGGCCCAAGGAATGCCACAAAACACGGTCCCGAGCCATCTGCATCCATCGACTTCCTGCATGTCTTACCAGGTCGTCACTAACTCGTGCGGGGACGCCCTACTCTTCGCCTGCCGGTCCGAGAGTTGCTACTCGAGAACCTTTCTTCCCCATCGGTTGTCGGTTCATCGAGCTATATGGGCGGACCATTGACACTTTAGCTTACTAATCCGTTGAACTATGTCGGTTGCTCTGGTTCTACTGCGGTTATCCTCGTTTTGAAGTCTATCATGCAAAGAAACGCCGACCATAGTCCTCATAGTCCATAGCTCTCTGAGCGACCTTCAGCAACATACGACCAGCAGTGAAGGACCACATCTCAAATCCGTAGGTCATCACTAGCAACACACATTGATTGTACACTCTCGTTTTGAATTTTTGAGGTATGTCTGTGTGGTGTAGCCGCCACGACAATTTATATTAGTGTTTGATTAGGAATAAGGCAGTATAATAAAAGTCTTAAACTGGGCAACACGTCTCCTTTTTTACTGAACACTGTCCAAAATTAAATGGCGATCGTGCCAGGCGGTGCGCTGCTACTATGCATGCGCATTGCGCACCGCCGAGGCTGCATAAATTAACAAAAATTATTTAAGGAAAACAAATTGAAAAATGTAAATACATCATTTTATAAAAATGGATTGAACTTTAACCCGGATATTACAAAATAATCACTGAAAGCTTAAAACGAACGAAAGTAGAAACCTCAGTATTGCATATTTGTAAAGAAGATGATATTATACATACCAATAAACATTAAAGGAGGATTTTTTAGCCGGGCCAACAATGACATTGGGATGTCAAACATCTCAGTACCCCCGTGACCATGGGGCACCCGAAACGTCGGGAATTAAAAATAAGTAAAAGTAGTTAATAAAACGCGATAGAATCCGTAAATTTAGTTTTATTCAATGTGTAGTGTTCGCGTAAATTTAAGAAATCATTACATTTTTGATTACAAAAATTATTATTAAATTGATTGATGATTACATTCTAGTTTTTTTTAACAAAACCCTTTGTTACATATCTATCATGAATAGACGGCCTTTTGGGGCGTTCAAGTATTACGTAAGCAGGCTTAGGCTCGAATCGTCGACGACTGAGTACTTTTCTATCGGCTCTATTTACTGGCGCTGCGAAGAGATGTTGCATTTTATTTCGCATCTACCACGGGGAGTGCTCTGAGGAATTGTTCGGATTAATCCCAGACGCCAAATTTCATTAACGCACATCGCAGCAAAACTCCCGATACTATAGACACCCTCTGCTCACACTATCCACACCATATGCTTGATGGTCCACCACTGTACGTTTCACTAGGAGTTTTCTCCCTCGTACGACATCTCTGTGGAATAGTTTACCACCGGCAATTTTTTCGGACCGATACGACTTAGGGACCTTTAAGAAAAGAGCTTACTCCTTTCTAAAGGCAGGAAACGCACCTGCAATTCACCTGGTGTTGCAGTTGTTCATGGGCGGCGATAGTCACTTAACATCAGATGAGCCGTTTGCTCGTTTGCCCCCTCTCCTATAAAAAAAAGGAAAAAATTAAGAGGATAACAAACAGTTTTGATTTGGAAAGCCTGATGAGAGTGCAAATGGCAGTTTTCGAAAACGGCGGTGATAGAGGAAAATATCTTACCAAATGCTTTCATTATTTAAAAACGATTGAAGTGTAAGAAGTTGTCTAAAGGACGACAACTTAAATGCACTGACATTCTTGAAATTTTACTACCAACAAAAATCCTAGATTATAGTGAAATATTTTTTTATTTTTGGTATACAAATTTCAATTAAAGTTCTTAATAGTTATTTCAATGGTTTAATTTTTTCCTACTCAAAATACTAGCGCTATATTTCCATAATATTAATAATCATTTAATATTTTGAATTTTGACTACCATTTTTAAAGGAGGATCGAATTCCGAAATTCCGGAACTGTAACGCTTAATATTGAAACCCAATTCCATAATTGAAAAATGGTCAGATACTCAAGCCCTAGAATCAACTTCACAAAATGTGGCAGATGACACCATTAGAAGTTTTCTTTACACCTTCGAAGAAAATCATAGCTAGTTTTAAGGACCTGACTTCCTCAGACTAAGTCCTGATTTACGGCCCAGGAAAGCGGAAATAAAATAAAGTTTAGAAACGGGTGAAGAAAAATCATCAAAAAGCATATATATGCTAAAAAGAAGACGGTCGTGGAATTTACTCGATTTAGTAATTTTGGAAGATTCCTTAGGCCCACTGCGCGCATGCTGCAAGCCGTAGAAAAATTTAAATGTTTAATTTTTACAGGATTAGGAAAGTCGGTTAAAGGACCCGACGATCAATTGGAATTAACGTTTTTAAGAAAGTCAGAGTTTCTTTTTTGTTCAAAACGAATGGGTGCGTTTGGCAGAAAAAAGCGCTAGCAAGCGCTTGTAAACAAAATGGCGATCGTAAGCGGTAAGTGCTGTCAAAGCGTAAGTAGCTATTTTCCTCTAGGACACGATGTTAGTTTTAACCGGGGAACCTAACCTAATTTAAATATATGTTTGTAAAGTATTCATATTAAAAACTTACCAATCATGAATTTTTAATAACATGTATATGTTTATTCATGTCATTATATTACTTAAAACTAATATTGCACAAAAGAACTTATAAACTACTTCAAAACAAACAAATTAAATAAGCAAAATGGCGGATTGTGTCAGCGCTACTGAAGTAGCAATCGTGTCCTGGCCGAAAACTATTTTAGCGCTTGTAAGCGCTTGCTAGCGCTTTTTTCTGCCAAACGCACCCAATGTCTCCACTCCAAAATATGCTGTTTGAAAACGGGTAGAAAAGTCGAAAGAAATTCACGTATAAGTAGATTGGCCATAGAACTAGGGAATGATAACCTCCTCTGGTTAAACGCACGTTTACCTTTTAAATCCAATTTAACAGAGGAAAGTCGTATACCTGTCATGTTGGACGGTAAACATGAAATAGTGAAAATTACGATTAAAAAAGTTCTTCATTTCGATCACGCTAATCATCTAATGGTGATGAAGGAGGTAAACCAAAAATTGTATGTTTTAAATATATGTAATACAGTTCGTAGTGTACCACACAACTGTCGGTGGTGCAAAACTTATAAATCAAAGCCATATAGTGCCGTTACGATACCTTCCACCAGAGAGAATAGCTCATCATGAGCCAACCTTCACGTGTTCTGTCGTAGATTTTTTCGGACCCATGAAAAACATTAGCTTATGATGTGTTTGATATAGTGTAGTAGTAGCGAGCAAAGGTACGGGTAGCAAAGAAGTATGCTATCTATAGTACAATAGGATACATATTAGGAATCTATACGTAAGATTTACCCTACTAGCAATAATGAAGCTAAAGTTTTTAACGTGTCAAATAAAATTTTATGATTTTTTACATATTTAGGTAATAGTAGGGGAGAGCCCATGATTCTAATTGGGGATTTACTCAAGCTTCGTGGGGACCAAAAGTAATTTAATGTTTTTACAATAAATAAGTAATTTTCAAAAATGTATAAACTACTACAGATGTTCAAAAATAAATTCCAGCGAGTCAGGTCAAGGTCAGGAGGTCAAAGGGGATGTTAAGTGAATCCTAAAAATGCTCCCACTCAAAAGACTGATGATTCGGAAGTAACGTAAGGTCATAGCGAATTTTTGAAAATACGAAATAAAATCGCCATTTTTAAATACTCGAGCGGGTCAGATTTATTACACAAAACGTTCAGCTTGAGGCCTCGTTAAGCTTGAGGGTAGCTTAAAATCTGTAAATTTTTTTGAGGTGTATTAATGATCTAACTGAAAGAAATAATTATTTTAGAATGTTTTTATGGACATTTTTCTCAATAACCATAAAATGTGACTGTGAATGGGTGGGGATTGCACGAGAGAGAGATAGGGAAAACTGAAAGGGAAGAGGGCGGAGTGGGAGATACATGCTTTACTCCAGACTCAATTCCACTAACAATTTTTAGTATTTTGGCTTGTGGAAATCGGCAGATTATGTTTTTTTTGTTATTTTTGCGTTACATCCTTCAGAAAAAATTAACCACGAGAATGTCAAGACAACGTTTTCTTTTACGGAGGGTTATAAGTTACGTAAGGACGTTACGCTCAAATAGTCAGATTTTCTAAATGCCCTTTTTTACCTCGTAATTAATCACCTTACTTTTAATCTGACGCACTTGAGTAGTCCAAAAAAAACCCCCTTGGGCTCCCCTACTATAAGGGTGACAAACGAACACAGTACACCTTGTGGTAAATGAATATCAATAGACCTACTCAAGTTTACGAGTCTCAACATCAACACAAGTCTACGCAATCAGTTTACTCAAGCTATCAGACAAGTTCAATGCCTACGATGGACTAAGATGGAATGATTTGTTGGTAGTAAAAAGGCTAATGCTATGCTTTATTATTGAATCGATATCTAATCCTGACTAAAAATATTCATAAATAATTATTACGTTTTATACTCTACTTGGATAATAATAGATCGCGTAAGATCGAGTTCTTGCGAACAACTATTTCTTATTAATATTTTTATAATGGAAATCAAAAACACTGAAAGGTACTTACGAAATGCTCTATGCAATAAAACGACCGCGGATACGAAGTCTCCAAATCTCAACATGCCGTCCTTTCTCATATATTTCAGCACAAGTAGGGTCAGCGCTCTTTCGGGTATTACAAATCCGACTTCCCTTAATGCATCTTTTAGCCTTTCAGCGCGTAGGACTCCCATCTTTTCTGGTGCGTGTTCACGAAACACATTTTGCCAGTGTTTTAGGCTGCAGATGAGATCTTTGAAGTCAACAAGAGTTATACGGCCAGTGCCGTCTTTCTATAGTAACTTGTTAAGGATTAAATTATTTATTGCATCGAGTGATTGAGGAAGACGTTTGCTTTTTAGAATTGGAAATGATGTTTACTTAAGCTAATTAAGATCTAATAATGCTTATCTACATAGGCAGTCTGTGATATCGGGTTCCAGGTACATCGCATTTTGGGCAGATTTTGCGCCATCATTCGGCCGCCAGTGTTATTGTATGTCGATTAGCATATGTACCGATGCAGGTGAAGTTGTGATTCGGAGAAAATTCACATGTATCGTAGGTATATATATATATATATATATATATATATTTAAACTTTTCTCCAAATCCCAACTGATTTTCGGACACCAGAATCTTTCTAATATTATGTCAGTTATGTAATGTACCTACTATTAAAGTTCCTTAAAAATAAGAGAATGAAACCCGCATTATGAAATCCCGTTACATTCATAGGTACGAGTACATATACGAGAACAATCATGCTACTACGTAGGTCATGCAATAAGTTTTTAGATGCTCGAAATTTAAAAATGGAACGCACCCGTGTTATATGTTTCTAAAAAGCAAATTTATTTAAAAATAGAACTCCATAAGCCAATTGCTCAATATTAAAAACAAACAAAGTTCTATTAATTTACCTGCAATGCTTCCCGCGCTTTTCATTAAAATCGATGGATTTTAACCGTGAATGATTTTAAATTTGGTTTAACCGAACAACTAAGCTTACAACGGTTACAATCAGCATTAGGGGATTTAGCTCCATCACGCGCAACAACATTTAGGTGATTTGCTGAATTCAAAAGGGGTAAAATTTACCTTAAAGATGACCAAAGAACCGTGGCCCCGCAAACAGCAGTAACGGCAGAAAATGTATGGACTACTGATATGTTGGTGCGAGAGGACCTACGAATCACATATACGGACATCGAAAAGATTGTAGGAATTCGGGGAGCACTCATACCATCTTACATCAACATCTAGGAGTGAGGAAGCTTATTGTCGATGGATCCCTCGTTTGCCCTCCGAAATCGAAAAACAGACTCGTGTGGATTGGTGCCATGAAATGCGTCTACGTTTTGAAAACGAGGCATCTAGGCGTGTTTCAGAAATCGTTAGGTACTGATGACGAGACACGGATCTATCAATATGATCCGGGAAATAAAAGGCAATCATCGGTATGGGTCTACTCAGAAGGACAGTTACCGAAAAAACTGCAAAGACCTCGCAACGTCGAAAAAAAATTGTGGTTAGTTTTTTTCGCAGAGCGGACATTTGTCGACGTCAATGCTGGAAAATTGTAGGTCAGTCAACTCTGAATAGTATACTACGGTTGCATTACCAAAGCTTTTCAAGCTGTGCTTGAGAGAAGACCAAAGACCAGGCTTCGGGGAATCATACTGCATCATGATAACGCCTTTTCACATACCTCCCATAGAACAAAAGCATTTATTGAGCAATCTGGTATTGAAACTCTAAGTCACCCACCCTACAGCCCTGACTTAGCTTCTTGTGATTTATTTTTATTCCCAAGAGTTGGAGAAAAAATAAAAGGCAAGTTATTTTCAAGCGCCGAAGAAACTGTGACTGCCTACGAAGAAGCGATTTCCGACCTGTCAGATCAAGACTGCCAAAAGTGTTTTCAGAGTTGGTTCAAGTGAATGGAACTTTGTATATTTGTATGATTGAGAATATTTTGAAAAGATGTAAAATAAATATTAATAGTATCTAGAATACTTTTTGTATGTCTCAAAACTTATTGACTGTCCTACGTAGTAGTGATTTTGTCGAGATTTTGCCCGCATTCGTGTAATTGGTTTTGGATTTTTTTTCTCTCGGTACATATCGGTTATGGAACTAAACTACCAGACCTTGGGTGCATAACATTTTTAGTATCATAGTAATGGATATTTGTAATTTCACTTCTTTTTGATAAGTTTAATACGAAAATGTCAAGTTGATATTCTGTAATTAAGAGCTAATAATAAATAATCTTAATTATTATCATGATTACCGCCTTACAAGTCCACTGCTGAACATAGGCGTTACATTTTGCTTGCCGGCACGAGACTGCCACTTGAGATCCTCTCTTCCCTTACGAATAGTAAGTTATAAAGTTCTTCATTGACGGGCCTTTCAAAACTTCACTCAGACCGCATGTCCGTAAGGAGAGTTTTCACGAGCTTGTCATTTATTTCGCCGACTGAATTATATAGCACTGAAAACCAATCCAGTTAAAACCTTGTGGAGCTTTGTATTAGAACACGAAGGGGGTGGAGCGTTGACTTCATTATGCGTACCTTTTCAACTTAACATTAAGGTTCAACGTGTCCCTTACCATTCGGTAAAACTACCAGTTTTTAACCTCACGATTACTAAATAGTTGTCGCCGGTCTGTCATAATAGCCAATCGCATTTTTATAGAAGTAAACTTGTTTTATTGTAAATATTAAAAAACTGCACTAATTTGATTCATTAGATAATAATGTATAAAAGTATTTACATTTAAAATAAAGGGTGTTATATATTATGTATTTGCTAAAAAGGATACTTCCATTGACAAAACTATTTGTCTGCAGGTTTCAATCGTTGCACAGCTTTTAATGTAATCGTTGGGCAAACATCTCTCCAACAATTCTTGTAACTCGAAGGCGTTGATGGTTTTATGTTCATCGGCTAGTTGCAAGAATTGAGACTCGTATTGTGCAAAACTGCTTAGCTCCACGCCGATTGGTGCCTTTACCAAAGCTGCTTTCAACATTTGTGGGGTGCAATCTAATACAGTCATCTTAAGGGGCTTTATTGAGTATACTCTGAGCGAAAAGTTTGCTTCTTGTCTTGGTTCGAATGTTGTTGGTAATACTAAATACGAACCAGCGGTCATGTGACACCTGGAATTAAGTTTAATTTTCAAATAAAATGTAAAGAAGTAAAGTTTTAGAGTTTGTCTTTTATTGTAGAGGTCGCACCCAGACCAGGAATAATACTTGTTTCATGGGAGAATAGAACATGTGGCCTGTGCCAGACAGCCGGATTCTCCGTGTATATATTTTGTTTGCTAACTTTCGAGAATAATAAATGGTATTAGAAGTATCTTAGCCGACTTTGAAAAAGAAAAGGTACCCAATTAGACTTTATATTTCTTTTTTGTAAGTACCTAACTTAGTGATATCTTGCGTCGTCAATTGTTAACCGATTTTGGTGATTCCTTTTATTAAAAAAAATTATACTTTATGTGTGGTCCCATATAAACTTTGAGAAAAAGTCCATCGCTAAGGGTGGCGAAATTGCCATTGGAAAGGAAGTTTTCAATATAAATGTTTAGATGATATTCTAGTAAGTGAAGATTGGATTACTCAAGAGCTTAGTACATCATTCTATTTCATCCCTAAGGCTTCATAAGTAGCGACTGTGTCAAATGACGAAAAATCATAAAGCTTCCCGATAGATAGCTGTGTAACTACCTCATTTAAGTCTGACGTAAAGTACCTAGACTGGCGACGAGAAGCAGCGTCAAATGAGCGAGAGTCTAGCGCTGCGATTATCAATTCACCTGCTAAGTAGTAAACTTTTACTGGCCCATAAAAAAAAGTTCGCATAATTAAAATATCGCAACCGAAAGTGACTATAATTTTGATGTATTAAAGGATAATATTTCATAAGATTTTCTGTTCGTATATTCCATGATTTCTTTTAATAAAATGTCTAATCATATATTTCAAATCAATGTATCAATTAAAATTGTTTGAAGCTGATTTAAATTTGACAGAATTTTTGAAACAAACCTCTTGCTGACTTGCCGACTGTTGGTATACTGGGAGTTAATAGAACTCTTCGTTTTTTTAAAGAAAAAGGCTGAAGCAGTTTCAGTAAGGCCTTTGGGTAACTTGTATATGCTAAATCCAATCACCTTCGGCTCCATTATACTGTGCTGATTCAACGATATAATAACTGTGTCTGGCTCATGTAAATCCAACTGTATTTGTGGGTTCATGTGAAAAAAATCTAAAAGAAAAATATTAATGATTTCTTAAATTTACGCGAACACTACACATTAAATAAAACTAAATTTACGAATTTTATCGCGTTTATTTAACTGCTTTTACTTATTTTTAATTCCCGACGTTTCGGGTGCTTTTAATCGGACCGAAAATCGGTGCGTAAATCGGACCGAAAAATAAAAAAAAATATTAAAAACTGAAGGTAGCCGGGCTAACTATGACATTGGGACGTCAAACATCTCAATCCCCCCATGACCATGGGTGCTGTAAAGCACCCGAAACGTCGGGAATTAAAAATAAGTAAAATCAGTTAAATAAACGCGATAAAATCCGTAAATTCAGTTTTATTCAAAAAAAAAAATTATTTATAACAATTTACTTATTGTATCAATAATTACTTTTGGAACCCTAACCAAATGTAGTATTTTAAACCTACAATTAAAAGAGACAAAAGAGTCCACAGTTCATCCGATTTTAAGTGGATGCTGGGGCCTATTGACGACTACATCTATCCTTGATTAAGAATCAAACATCAAATGTCCTCTTTGAGGACTAAGATGTAATGATCGTTATCAGCAAAATGAAACGCTGATCCACGACATCAACCATACGAAATATGCTGCTATTTTATATTCTTACTAGCAGCGAAACCCGGCGTTGCCCGGTTCAAAATACATCGCACAATTGGTGGTCATCAGATCAGTTTTTCTTTTTTATTTAAATGTACGTTTGATAAAGTGTATACGAAATAGACTGATTAATTAACTTATTAAAATAATTATGAATCAATTTCCAAAGTAGCTTGTTTAAACAAAAAAATGTTTTATTGAATATATACATATATACAGTTTTATAAACGATTATATTTTTTAAATTTTTGTTTACAACACTCGCTTATATACTACGTTTGTTGTTTTATTATTTAATACAGTCTAATCAAAGACTATTATATTCTCTATGAGTCTAATGACCAATCTTTGAGGCGACCCAACTCTAGAGCATGCGACGTACAATTGATCGTATGAAAAGCATGATTCTCTTTAAAAAAGGAAAAGCTGGACATATAGGCGGATATTTTCCATTTATCTGTGTTGTGTGGATTCATTTGTGCTACAATTATAATACGTATACACCGTTCTTTTTAATTTATAAATATAATATATACATAAAATGTAAGAAAGAAGAATCTAAAAAATAAGGATATAATTAAGTTCATTTAGTGTCTCTTATAGAGAAATTAATCCGTCACGCTCCTCTAGTGTTTGTTGGCGGACTTTAAACAACGAAGTTTCCTTACTATTTTTTTTCACCGTCGAACATGTGGTAAATCGGCACTTATAATTGGAATTAACAATTACATTCGTATCGGTAGGTATCGATTCTGGGTTGTTTTGAGATATCATATGATTGCTTGTTTGCTTATTTTATGTCGTATTACTGACTTGTTAATATCATCATCAATATGGGTTTAATTTTTTAATATGGGTTGTTCCAGTATGATTTAAATCTAAGCCTTAGCCTGCATGTTTAGTGCATTGTTAGTTTTTTATATTATTTATACTCACCTTTTACCATGAGGTTGGATTGTAGTCAAGTACTGGCTATTAGAAGTAAGAAGTCGGTATTTGTCGCACTGTTCCAAGGACAGACGAATATTTCAAGCGCAAATATTGTGACTAGTTCGGAGGACGATATCAAAGAGATATCATTATGCTACTATTTATGTTACTTTCCAAAAATATATTTATAATTATTTTCCAGGAAAATATATCACACTAAATAATTAAAGAATAGGCAGGGTTTATAAATTCATCACCACCCAAATCGCCTTGTGGGTGTCGCATCAAGCCTGCGTGAGAGTTACATTTGGTAGATACCACATTCGCCAGTTTAACTGCAAAGGGACTACTGCATATCCTTTTTGTAATAGTTGTGGCAGAGGTAGGCTTTTAAAAAATATTGCTGGTTGCAGCATGAATGGGTTTGCTCAAGCGTAGTAGGACCACGCTCACTGACAAAATCACTGCTGTTGTTTGTATGGTGAGTGTAGAGAACGGGGGGGCACATTTTACGGTAAATCAGGGATTGCATCCTAGCCCTCAGCTATGATAACGGTTCTGCATTTTGATTCTTAATTGAGAATAAATGTAGTAGTGAATGTAGATGATTTTGGGCCACAGCATCCACTTACCATCAGATGGTCTGTCTCTTCGTTTGCCACACTTATTTTATAAAAAAAAACATTTTGGTAAGTAGTATCTCATGGAAATTATACATAGTAATGGAATAACTTGAATTCTAACTCCAAGTACGGCAGTAATTTATTTCGTGATCGTTAAAAAAACAACAAGAGGAAAGCTTTAAAAAATAGTTTAGTCTTTGTTTAGCTGGCGTACTCTATAGTAGAAGTTATTTTAATTTTAGACGTATCACTTACTAATGTGATTTCGACAACCACCAGCGGTAACCCCTTTTTTCCATCTGCCTTGATGAGTTTTCACTTGCCACTTGAGTTTATCCGATAGTGACGACTCCGCTTTACTTGATTCCAAGTCTAAGTGAACAATCTCAAGTCTCGTGAACGTATCTTTGAAATCGGAGAACAGCATCCAAAAACCCTTGGTATATGAGGTTAGCCGATTCTTCTCGTATTCGGGTATTGAGGCCCACCTGCGTAACAACCATAGTTTGAAGGTTATAACAACAAAATAAAGTAAGGAACCATTTATTATCACTTTGCGCAAACTTTAAATGAAAAATAAAAGTATAATAATATATATTATGTATAATAACTACATATTTGTTATAATTATAACTTAATCTCATATGTTAAAGAATTACTCTTAAAAACTTTCTTTTGATTCTTAATGGATGACGGATGTAGATGACTATGGGCCGTACGATCCGCTTACCTAATGTGCTTATGCTATAATGTGTTTATCATGGGGCGGCATGACGAGAATCGGAGACCCTTACTTTACTATGTATCCGATCCTAATCGTTCAAGAAAAGAGCCTACTTTTTTTTAAAAGGTCAGCAACGCATCTCAATTTCTCTGGTGTTGCAGTTGCTTATGGGCGGCGGTAGTCACTTACCATCAGGTAAGCCACATACGCGTTTGCCACCTCTCATATAAAACAGCCTCAGTGGCGAAGTTACGGCTCCAAACTAGGGAAATCCCAAGATATGGTTTTTTGTTTAGTTGTTTGATGGTTGTTTTTAGTAGTTTTATAAAAATATACCAATCTTGATCTGTCTCCACTATTCAGTTTCATATTTAGTCCTATCAAGTACGTGTTTAACAAAGCACACAGAAGGTGGTAGCAAAGCCTCCATAGAAGGCCAGAAGCAGGGCTTGCCCTATCAAACTGCTCAATCAATAATATCAAGTAAAAAAAATAACTCGTAAACTATATCGAACTATTTTACATTTCCCGCACGCTCCTCTGTTCTAGACAGGTCATGACCTCGTAGCATATATGTAACGTCAACACTTGGCAGTTTGCTTTCAATTCGAAATACATTAATTCGTGTTCTCTCTGTCTCAAAGCGAACACGCAATGAACTGTCAAAATTAAGGAGTTGATTTATTCATCTCTCTCGCATGCGTTGGCTTTTTACCGGGCTTTCAAGTAGACGATCGCTCTCTTTCTAACCTGTGGCGAAATGTTCTATAATGTAATATAACTACGATATGAAACCAAAAGCTGGGCTTTGCTCTGAAATTGTTTAGAAGTTTAGCTAAAATGTTAAACCAGCATAAACGTTTTAATGTTTATGCTGGTTTTTTCATTCAATCATCAATTTTATACCAAAACGCGGCGTAATGCTCTATACTGAATTGCTATGTAAACAATCGTAGTTATATTTCATTATAGAACATTTTGCTACAGGTTAGAAAGGAAGCGATCGTCTTCTCGAAAGCCCGGTAAAAAGCCCACGCGTGCGAGAGAGACGACTAATCACTCAACTCAACTCTTTGCTTTCATTATTTTTGACAGTCCATTGCGTGTTCGCTTTGAGACAGAGAGAACACGAATCAGTGTATTTCGAATTGAAAGCAATTTGCCAATTGTTGACGTTACATAATAAGGCTTCGAGGTCATGGCCTGTGTAGAACAGAGGAGTACGCGGGAAATTTGAAATAGTTTGAAACAGCTTACAAGTTATATTATTAGTTGATATTATTGATTGAGCAGTTTGATAGGGCAAGCCCGGATTTTCGGCTTCTGTGGAGGCTTCGCCATCGAACAGCCTCGGGTGTGACAACGCCTTTGAATTTTGACTCTTAATCAAGGGTAGATGTACAAAGGTTTCAGAATCCACACTAACTATAAAATGTACTGTGAGTTCGTTTAACACATACTACTCAAATTAAAAAAAAAACTTAAATTTTTTGTAGTGATATTTAGCATTCGGCATTAAGAAAAAATATCTAACGGCAAGTTAATAATAGTATTGTCACATACTGCGCTTCGTCTAGAATGAGATGAGTTATATGAGAGTCTCCGGGAGCTGGCGGTTTTCCTATTCTCACTACGTATACTGGACCATCTTTGGAATCTACCTGTAAAGTTAAATTAGTAAAAAAAAAAATATTGTAGGCAATGTTTTTACGGCACGTAATTATTAGCAATTTTTGAAAGTAATGTATATGTATTTAATTTTTTGGCTATAATTTATTTTGAAATCAAGTAAAGGTTATAGTAAAAAGTAAGATATCTGACTAAATAATTTCTGCAAGGTTTTAGCCACTTTCTAATTACTACCGAAAGTTGTTTATTGTGAAAGTTTGTGCAAATGCGGAAGCACCGTTTTCAATTACACGCTAAGTAACAAGTTACTTATTATTTTAATAAGCAAAGACTCCAACTACAATGATCTAACTAATATATTTTATGTTTCTTAGATATAATATACATTTTATTATACCAAGGTGGTCTGAAAAGTTTCCGGGCAGATGGCAGCATTCGACAATACAAGTGTGCATAAAATAGTTGTACATCTTTTGACAGTTACGCACCAAAATTCTGAAATTTTGGACGCGTATTTGTTATTTTTGACAGTCGTTTGTGAGTCGACGTGAGTGTTTTTGTGAAAATGAAAACAAAACGAGTATCGAGCTGTACATTAAATTTTGTTTTTGAAAAGCAATACGCCTAAGCAAATCAAATGTCAGTTGGACTCCGTGTATGGGGACTCTGCACCATCATTTACCACAGTGAAATTTTGGGCAACTGAATTTAAACGTGGCCGTGAGAGCTTGGAAGACGATGAACGTTCGGGACGTCCAGAAACTGCAACTACTGACGATAACGTCGCTAAAGTTCACCATATGCTAGGGGACCGCAGAATTGAAGTGACAGATATAGCAGAGGCTATGAAAATTTCCAAAGAACGTGTTTGTCTTCCAATTAAATTTAAGCGTGAGAAAGCTGTCAGCGCGTTGGGTATCACATTTGCTCACGTTAGACCAAAAACATGTTCGAATGAACATTTCCAAAGCTCTGTTGGCGCAGTTTAGGTGCAGTTAATCCTATTTTGGTGCGTATTATTTATTGCAGATGAAACTTGGATACACCATTATACGCCCGAAACAAAAATACAGTTAAAACAGTGGACTGCGAAGGGGGTAACGGCTCCAAAAGAAAGCAACTGTTTTTTTGGTTATCTTAAATAATTATCTTTATAAAAGAAAAACCGTTACAAGAACATACTAAGCATCATTACTTGACAAACTGAAGGCAGAAACTGCGGGAAAACAGGAAAAAGAATATCTTGTTTTACCATGACAAAGCGCCGTTTCACCCCTCAGCAGTTGCCATGGCGAAAATGCACGATTTACGGTTTTAACTGCTTGACCATCCGCCTTACTCACCAGATCCAACCCCAAGCGACTTCTTTTTGTTCCCTTATCTAAAAATTGCGCTTGGAGGACAGAGATTTCCTTCAAACGAGGAGGCATTCACCTTCGTGAAAAATTATTTTGTATAGAAAAACGCCGAGTACTATTTGTGCGTAGAAGTGTGTGTCCGAGAAGTGTGTAGTACAAGGAGACTATGTAGAAAAATAAAAATAAATTTAAAGATAACATGTTTCCTTTCTTTGTTAGGTCGGCAACTTTTCAGACCTCCCACGTATATAAACTGTAATGATGAAGATGATGTTACACATTACAAATATTAGTCATACACTTAATAATACATTTCATGCGATACTTTACACATATGTTTGCTTTCAATACATTAATACATATTAATAGGTACTTATTTAATAAAGACAATACGCGTAAAGCGTTTTGAAACAAAAACAAGTAATTACCCTTTCCACAGCATAGACTCTGTAGTTCACTCCCGATTCAATAGTAGTTAGGTTATGAGTAACAGACTGCAACAAAACAAATGTACATAGCTATGAAGTCACTTCTGTGTTGGTACAGTAATATAACTATTAAATCATTATAATACATAAAATTTCTCTACCATATCATACTGCCATATCATTCTTACTACCATAGTAGAAAATTCATTCACATAATTCCAAAGTTTTTAGTTTTTATAGATTTTATTATAGACATCAATTTTAGTATCAAGTTTTACTATACTATAGATAAAATACTGTCATTATAATATCACACGCACACGCACACGCACACGCACACGCATACATACACGTACACGCACACGCTCAAGCACACGCACACGCACACGCAACGCACACACACACACACACACACACACACACACACACACACACACACACACACACACACACACACACACCACACACACACACACACACACACACACACACACACACACACGAACGCACGTATAACAAGTATGGATTATCTGGCATTTGTCATCTAATTTAATTAAAAAAATTACTTGTAGTACTCGACATGCTGTAACTATACTGCTGGTTTTCATTAAATTGATAAGATTAATTTCACTAAGTTCTGATAGCAGCATGGATTCTGTGATCCCTCCAGTCAGTTCTGCAAGGCCGTCCAGCAAATTGCCGTATTTAAGAGCTTCGTAGGATCCGTGCATTCTGAAACAGATAATAGGCATATATATAGATAGATTAAAATCCCGTCCGTGACGTCTGTGAAGTCATTGGTGCAAAGAAACTCATTATCCGAAAATATCATTATTTGTTTGCAGACTCCTCGTATATCAATTACAAAAGTTATACAAACTTCACAACGGGAAGTGACAAAAACACGATACCTAGATTATGAAATAGGAAACTACCATATTTTTTATATTCAAATTAAATTGTTATTAGTAATATGCCGTTTTTTTAACGAATATCTAAGTTTAAACTATATCTGGCATTCAAGTCGAATTTTAGAAGCTAATAAAACTTAAGACAAATAATAATAAAAGAAATTTATACGAGCCGTTTACTGAATTTTAAATCTCTTAACGCTATAACATATCACACAACGATAATAAACGCGAAGATGTGAAAGTGTAATGCAAGAAGATGAGAATTAAATGAGAATCAGCCGGTGTGGATTTTCAAAGTGATAGAATAAGGGCGACAAACGAGTACAAAGTTCAACATAACATTTTCTTACCATCGTTACAGGGTGTTATGGCCAATAGACATCTATTATTAATGAAAAATAAAAATGGAGATGTGCAGTTACTCCTGAAAACTTATATGGAATGGCTTGCTACCACCAAAAAGCATATTTTCCTCTCTCCATAAGAAATACTGGTCGTCTGTGCCGATCCATTCGTGCTGCAAGTATGTACTAGTTATAGATAGCTGCAGCGTTGCGCTACCACGTAGGAATTATTAAAAAGCCATAAATTTTAGAGTAAACATTAATGAAATGCAACAGTTTGGAGAATAATTGTATATAATATGTTAGATGATATATGGGTGTACGATGGGCTGTTCTTTATATACGGAACTTTAATTTGTCATCTGTCATTCTATCTTCCTATTTAGTCTATGTTTCCATTTTTTTAAAACCACGATTGATACTATTTTTTCAGAAACGCAGTTAACGTGAAATTATTGTACTATATTATCGAAACAAACTTTTAGATTACAAGAGCGAAGTAATAATTAATTATGTCTTTTATACGTGGTTAGAGCCATGCTGCAGTTATATTAGTAGTACAGTTGTAGCAAAATAGTAGCTAAATAATGCTGCTGCGTTTCGTATGGTGAGTATAGAGAACCGGAGACCCTTTTTTACTGGAAACTAGGAATTCCATCATAGTCCTCAAGGGTGACAGCGCATTCTACATTTTGATTCTTAATCAAGGATAAATCTAGATGTCTATGGGTCACAGCATCCACTTACCATCAAGTGGACTGTGTGCTCATTTGTCACCCTATCCTATAAAAAAAGTAATTTTAACCATTTACTTACTTAGCGTAGGCTTTTTCTAGTAACGCGGGCCAGAGCTGCTCAGTGCGACTTGAATGAATGAAAACCAGCTGACCATTGACAATAGGTAATCGATCATCAACTAATACCTCAACCCATTGTCCGCACCACCAGAGTCGAAACCTGAATTTATAAAATACATTATTTTTAACCGACTTCAAAAAATGAGGGGTATTCAAATCGACTGTATTTTTAATGTGTATTACCTCAGACTTTTTTCTTGGTGAACCGATTCTGTTGATTCTTTTTTTTATTTAAAAGCTGATACTTCTCATGTGGTTCAATATATATTAAACAAGACCCGGCCAGCAGTTTTTGAGTTATCCTTAACAATGCGTATTAAATTGACATCGACTACATTGATGATGTTCTCATTTTATTTATATTGAAATCGAGTGTACAAAATTTTAATTTTACCACTTGTTCATATAATCTTTACCAACTCATGAACAGTCTAGTTTACACGTACTAAGTATATTGCGAAGTTGATAGATATTATTAACAATTTTAACTTAGTAGTATATTAAAATAAATTAGTTAGCTCACTTTTTTCTTTCTTATCGTTAAAAACTAGCATTTTCTTATTGTGGGTTCAGTTTACAAGTATAAATTACACAAGGGAAAGAAACCTAAATCCAGACCCGGAACAATTATTTGTGGGCCACACAATACTTAATAATCCTCCGTGTTGGATTTGAACTCGTGGCCCTGAGCTCCGCTACTCAATGCTAAGTCACTGCGTCACTGCGCCACTCAACCATTAACTTTGAACATAAAGAGTGCTTATTGTTTACTTATAACAAAACCATTGTTTGTCTACTACCCCACCTGATAACAAGTGAAATACGAAAGAGCTGTGGCGACCCTGGGCTAATTTAACGCCTATGCTCGAGGTTGGCTAGATTCGTTTTAACAAATTTGAGGTCACTGAAATCCTTTTAGCACGCCTATCATCATATTTGTCAGAACATTGACGGATAAGTTTTATTTGCTATCACATCTTTAACATTATAATAGGCGTATGTGTTTTAAATTGTAATATTTTATCCTAAGAAAATGTTAGTGGCAGTATTTTATCGAATTACTAGTACAAGTTATTGAAAGAAATAATTACAGAAATATGTTCCAAATAGTAAATTTCAAGAGTAAATTAGTCCAGTATTCCGACAAATGACTTTAAAAATATAATAATAAAACAACATAGACGAAGAGGTAAATAAATATAAGAAATTGACACTGATCTATAAAAAAAGTAACGTTTTACTATCGATTTACCTGAATATTCCAGCGTAATTGGAGTCTAATTTTTGATCTGACGACACTACTCTGCAGAATAACCCCTTGCACAGATAAAGCACTCCCATACACGATAGAAGCCATTTATCGCCTGAAATCACAGATTTTCTTAATGATGCAATTCTCAAAAAGAATGTTATACATTTTTTTAAATAAAAATGTTCATACACGTCTGTTTCGTAAGTATAATATAATATACAAGTCACCGTCAGTAAATGTTATATATATATATATATATATATATATATATATATATATATATATATATATATATATATATATACTGACGGTGACATGTACTTGTAAACTTATTTATGTATACAATTATTATTAAAATTGAAGTGGCCGTTTGTAATATCAGAATATCTGCCTGTTATTGAGCTGTAGGGATTATTTGTATGCATGACATGACATGAATAACTATTATTAAAATTAAGACATGAATAACTACTATTAAAATTAAGAAATGAATAACTACTATTAAAATTAAGACATGAATAACTATTATTAAAATTAAGACATGAATAACTATTATTAAAATTTCAGTCTGTCTGTCTGGGTTAATCTTCGGAATGGTGGAACCAAACGTAAGGACACTTTAGGAACAAATAGAGAGTAATGTCAAAAGTGATCTTGACTTTATATTGTCCAAAACCTTGGATATTTTACTAGAAAAATTTTTGCTTATTGATAGTTATCTTAAACCTGAAAACTACAACGCAAGTCAATAAATTAAACGACCGCCGTGCTATGCAGGCTATATATTTTAGCATTTCACCTGCGGTACCTTGCTATAATATGTCACATTAAAGTGCAAAATATTTTAATATATTCATATATATTATATATTATATTCATATAATGTCCCGTAAATCGAGCTATAATGTCCCTTTAAATCGAATTCCGTTCAAGGCAGCCAGTCTCAACGAAAACTAGCCATTTGCGCAGGGCAGGATAACAGTGCACGAGTGTAAGCATAAGGGCATTGTTTATTCCCTCACTCACATTAGGCTGATGGAGTAAAACATCACCAATTTCCTGACTCCAGGCTACCACTAACAATTTCTCGATAGAAACACCTAAAAACTGATTTTGGCTCGACCCAGGACCTGAACCGGGGAACATATAATTAGCAGTCGCGCTTACGACCATTGGAGCAATGAGAGAGTCACACACTCTACGATGTAGGGTAATGTTTTTGAGTATGTGTAGTAGAAGCCGAATTTGAAACTTAAGTTCAAATATATAAATAACTAGCTTGCCAGGAAGACATTGTTTTTCCCTTTGTCCTATAAAAATCCTTAAATTCGCAAAAAAATAGTGGGTCAATCATGGGCAAAAAAACTATCCTCTCTCAAGTTGGACCAAACTGCACACTAATGCAGTGTGCTAAATTTCAATCAAATCAGTTTAAGAGTTCATCGCGGATAAACAATGTGACACGCAATTTTTATATATAAATACGATAAACGTTATTTGCGGTTTTTGTAAATATTTTGCCTACCGATGGAACGCTACGAATATGTGTGTGCGCAGTAAAATCTATTAAAATAATTAAAAGATAAAAAGGACAGAATATTTGAGATTTTGTTTAAGTTTTCTTAACATTTGCCTGCATTAATTATCCTTCTCAGCAAATTTCGCCGGTTATTGCGAAATAACTCTGTAAATTTGTTAAAACATCTTAAAAGGTTTGATGGATATTAATAGATCGAGTGTCATTCGATTCGTAGAAGTGACATAGGCTCTATTAACTGAATTTTTCTCAAAATTGATTTGTCTGCCTCGATGACCAGCTCCTCTTTGTTGCCTTTAGCGCCGACTACTTCTGCCACCTTTGTGTCAATAAGTGACACTGTCGACCCTTCATCCATGAGGGCCAATATTCTTTTGGATCCTTTTGGCCCGAAGACTTCTACTGGAACTATCTTCAGGTATGCCCTTTGCGTTGTTGACTGCATTCACTGCTACTTCTTCTTGTGTTTCCGCCTTCTTCTTTCCCGAGGTCCTGTTTTCTGATTCGACGTGCAGCAAATGATGATGCCACCTCTTGAATTCCTTACATGGTGGTTTCTTGCAGCTCTCCTTTCGATCGAAATAAATCAATTTTTTTTTCTTTTCAATAAAACTTTTACGCAGTCGAGTTTTTTCTAAATTTATTGGAATTACGTTTATTATTTGTAAAAAATCATTGTATTATGGGAAATTTTTTGTTATGGCTGCCACACTTGGCGATGGGATGAAAACCGCAGATCTTTATGATTTTGAGTTATTATTATGGAGATGCTGCGGTCCATCTCCTGGTTTGTTTCCCTTGTCAACTCTTGCAACACCCACGAGAGTATATGGGCTTGTTCACTCTCTTCCGTTACCAATCTATTTTCTGAGATGTAAGTGCTGTTGGCCCATGCGGTTCTTACAGTTTCAGGCCTAGGGCTAAAGATGCTACCACAATAAACTTAAAATTACTCTTTTTTGTGTATAATTTTTGCGTAGTGATAGAAGTCCTATCCAAAATAACCCTAACCTGCATAATTACGTTTTAACTTTATAAAATTCTATATTTTTACATTTGGCACTTCTTACAACAAAGTCCCAGAAAATATTATACAAGGTCTCTCTATTACTGTAGAGTATGAAAGCCATATTGAAGGCTTATGAAAAAACTAAGATCTGACAGTTGTTGTAAATAAATAAAAAGTTATGAATGCAAATTGGTGTTTTAGTGGTGAAATCCCCATAAATACACAATATTTGGCGACGAGGATCTTATTCACGTATTATTGACTGCAATATTTAAAGTGAAATAGATATCAAGAAATAATGTTGAATAAAGGAAATGTGTTGTTCGGCAACAGCCTCACATTTGATCACCACATGCAAGAGTGCGATATTTTTAAGAGTCGATTTGTCCAGTTTTGTATGGAAAATAATTATTATGATGAGACTGATAAAACAGGAGTTATGAGAAGAGCTTTTTTGCTTACCTCATTAGCAGAAGATACATATCGCCTAGTACGTGACTTGGTTTTTCCGTTAAAACTAGAAGATTTAGCTTATAAGACTCTCATTGAAAAGATTGACAACCAGTTTTCCCCAAAAAATGTACATTTGCGGAAAGATATGTGTTTTTTTTATAAAGCAGAACAAAGACCAGGCGAAGACTTAACTGAATGGGCGGCTCGGGTTCGTCATCTTGCTCAGTTTTGTGGTTTTAAAATAGAACTGGAGACGGCATTAAGGGACAAGTTTGTGCTGGGATTGGCAAATGTCAAGGAAAAAGAAAAGCTTTTTATTGAAAATATCGGTAGCTTAACATTCAACAAAGCGTTGGAGTTAGCACAAAACGTACGATGTGCTCGAGTTGCAGTTCAAAGGTCATTGCAAGATGAGAGACTAGTCACATCATCAGCGACAGCGCAACCGGTGTTCACTTTACGAGCCCAAGAAAATGCTGTTCGTCAAACTACAGCAACAAACATATCTTGTTTGGTTTGTGGATATAAGAACCATACTAAAGATAAATGTCGATATGCGAATTATTTTTGTCAAAAGTGTAAAAAAGAGGATTTAAAACGTGTTTGTAAGAGTACATATAAGAGCAACAATTATTTGGAGGTGGATGACAATGATTTAGTAAAAGGTATTTCATATGATTTGTATAATATTGGGTGTTTAAACGGTATGCCGATGAGACTGGTCGTGTCGATAGCGTCAAAGCGAATTTTATGTGAAATAGATAGTGGTAGTGCTGTATCTGTTCTACCGGAGATGGTTTATCAATCCTATTTCCTAATAATTATTCATTAAACCATTGTAATGTTATTTTAAATTGTTATAATGGCTCGAAAATATCTCCTTTGGGCTATTGTTTATTACCGGTGACGTATGAAAATCGTACTGAAGTTATTCGTTTTTATATTATAAAAACAGATATAAAACAACCAGTTCTGTCGGATCATAATTTTATAACGTGTTTTAATATGAAAATGTGTATTGGTGACTGTAACAACTTAGAACATAACGATTTAGTAAAAGAATTGAAGGACACATATTCACAGTTGTTTACAGATGAGCTGGGAACTTTTAATAAATATAAAGTAACTTTAAAAATAAAAAATGATGCTCAGTTAAAGTTTTTTAAGCCGTACCATTAGCTTTGAAACATAAAGTTGAGTTAGAATTAAATAAACTTTTAGATTTAGGTATTTTAGAACGCGTAGATTATTCAGAGGTAGCGACACCGATCGTACCCGTTCTTCGGTCAGACGGTAACATATGCATATGTGGCCATTATTCAGTGACGTTGAATAAATTTTTATACTCTGATAATTACCCGCTTCCACGAATAGAAGATTTATTTGCTAAGCTTCATGGTGGCGTCCAATTTTTAAAATTAGATCTTTCTAAAGTCTATAATCAGCTGGAGTTAGATGACTCTAAAAAAATTAACGCGTATTAACACCCACATAGCTTTATTTTGTTATAATAGATTAGTTTTCGGACTTTCATGCGCCCCAAGTATTTTTCAGAAAACAATTGATCAACTTTTATCAGGTATTGAGGGAGTCTGCGTATTTTTAGACGATATCATAATAACGGCCCCAACAAATGAGGAACACCTAGAACGACTACATCAAGTACTTAGAAAATTACAGGAATCAGGACTTAGATTAAAAAAAGTTTCACCACTATTTATACGGCCGCGTGACCCCTTTTATTTTACGAACTGATCACAAACCCTTGGTGTCGATTTTCGTTGGTAAAAAAGGTATACCTGAAATGGTAGCGAATACTTCAACGATATGCTATATTTTTGTCCGCATACAATTTTACAATAGAATGTGTCAAAAGTGAAAATAATGTCGATTTTTTATCACGATATTCAGTAAATAATTGTTCTGAAAATATTGAATGTAGTCCATGTAGTCAAACTAATTTAATTATTAATTTTACGGTAAATGACATTAGGAAAGAAACTATGAAAGATCAAATACTCTGTAAAATTATAAATTTTATTATAAATGGCTGGCCATTGAAAATGCACAATGCGGAACTTAAACCGTATTTTAAATGTAAAAATGATTTAAG